AGGGCGGGCAAACGACGATCAATGATTGGAGTCATGTAATCACCATCCTTAAGGATATTATTTCGTATCCCTCGGGATAAAACCAACCCTTCGGAATCAAAACCAGAGTAGAAACAACATAAACAACAAGAACCCAATGAAAGAACTATGAAGTAGAAAAGGAGAGAGGATTTTTTGTATGTACTCAATACTAGTAGCGAAGTGGTATTTATAGACTAATTTAGGCTAATTTGGTAAGAGAAAGGTGAGGATAATGGTGGAGAAAAATTAGAGAATACCATAAAAAATCTGGATTGATAAACGATCATAATGGATATGTTTTATGACAACAAAAATAGGAGTTATCTTGAACAAGTCTAGATTAAGGAGAGAAAATTTAAATAGGTGAGTTAAAAAAGGGGCTTAGATTGGGCCTTGTTATTACACGCATGGGCAAATGAGCCGTTTTGCATTAGTTTGGCCTAACTTGTTTGTGTGCAAGCCCAATCCATATTGCTTGCCTTTTACAAGCCCATAAGACACTTCTTTTAATAAAGTGTTATCTCATGCCCTTTTTTTAGTAATATGAGATGAAAGGTTTTGACAACCCTTTAAAATATTCATAACAATCCCCCGCATATTTCAAAAGGTTTTCATGGGTATAGGATTTTGCTTTGGGTTTATGCTACGTATAATGCATTAAGCCTAGTTCCTTTTGGGCTATGAATTGGACTTTGAACGAATAAGATTTAATTTACTAGATTATCGATGAAATTTAAAATTTCTATGAACTAATAATCCTTGTAACAAATTATTGATTTCACCATTCATATTACACCCTTACAACTTTGCTATTTAACGTGGTCTTGCGCTAATAGGCCATGCGCGTGCCTAGTAATTCTTGAGTGCTCTAGAGATTTTGCCAAAGAATCTCATAGGAGCGGCCCTACTCCACACTCATATAGGTGATTTCATCAAATGTATACTAAAATTCATACACCATTCATAAGAAATATGAAATTCATTAAGAGTTTAACTCATCCTCACTTTAATTTCAATATAACACCATACATCATAGAAAGAAATTGAAAAATTAATGTTATCACATGATCAACAAGTAACTTACTATTACCCATATAAACCTAATTCATAGGATCGCCAATCACATAGGTCAAGTTATCATCATTGTTAATCTCTCAAGTTGGTTATACTCCCATTCCCTTCGATGTTTCATATATTAATTTTCTTTCTAATAGTTTAATCGGAAGATCGACCAAATTCATATTTGACTTTACATAATCAATAGAAACAATTCCATCTCCGAGCAACTACTCTACCACTTTCGTGTCTCAATCGTATGTGTCTATTTTTATCATTAAAAGATTTGCTTTTCGTAATGGCTATTACATCTTGGTAATCACAATGCATAGACACTCGAAGGTGTTGGTTTCATACCTAAATGAATATTGGTTAAGAAATTATTTAACCACTTAGCTTCATTACTAGCCAATTTTAAGGCAACAAACTCGGACTCTATAGTGGATTTAGCAATACTAGTTTGTTTGGTCGATTTCCATGTTATAGCACCCCCACGAAAGGGTGAACACATATCTATTAATGAATTTTATCTCGTCTAAATCGGAGATCCAGTTTGCATCATTATATCCTTCTAATACAACGAGAAATCCACTATATAGAATACTATAGTTCATGGTACCTCTTAAATATTTCATTATACAAACTAATACAATCCAATGATCATGATTAAGATTTTGAGTATATCTCGCTCAACATATATACTACATAGGCTATGTCGAGTCTCAAGAAGTTCATTAAATGCATTAGAATCCCAATAATATGAGCATACTCGACCGAGCAACGCTATCTCCTTTATTTATCTTTAATTGGGTGTTTGCAGGCATAATGAGAACTCATAGGAGTCATATCAAAGTGTCCAAACTTCTTAGGAAGTTTCTCAAGATAATGTTATTGTGTCAACATTATCCCATTATCATTCCTTTTGACTTAACACCCAAAATGACATTAGCTTCACCCATATCTTTCATATCATATTTAGAAGCTAGAAACTATTTAGTACTAAGTATTGAGATTAGTGCCAAATATTAGCATATTATCTACATACAAATAAATAATTACACATTCATTATTCATAAATTTTGTATAAACACATTTATCCACTCCAATAGTAGTATAACCATCACTCAATATTACTTGATCAAATTTCTTATGTCATTGTTTATGTGTTTGCTTTAAGCCATACAATGACTTAAGCAATTTACAAATTTTATTTTCTAGACCATGACCCATAGAACCCTCGAGTCATGTAAATCTCTTCTTCTAAATCGCCATTCAAAAAGGTAGTTTTAACATCCATTTGATGTATAAAAAGTTTATGGATGGAAGCCGAGCTATTAAAACTCATATAGAAGGGATTCTAGTGACAAGAATAAAAGTGTCAAAATAGTCAACATTTTGTTTTTGTATAAAACCTTTAGCAACAAGTTTACCTTTATATTTTTTAATAGTACAATCGAGGTTAAATTTTATTTTGAAAATCCATTTGCAACCAATAGGTTTTGCTATTGGAGGCAAATCAACTAAAACCTAAGTTTTATTTTATAAAATAGAATTAATTTTCTTTTTAATAGCTTCTTTCCAAAAATGTGAATCAAAAGAAGAGATGGCTTCGAAAGCAAGTTAAAGGGTCATTGTCAATAAGATAAGTGTAGAAATCATTACCATAGGAAAACTCTTTCCTTTGCCTTTTACTTCTTCTTACGATATCATAAAAAATCTCATTTTCACTTCTAATAGTTGGTACATGTGAAATTTTCTCAAATAGTGGAAAAATATGTTAAAAAAAATCAACATTATTTGTTTCAATAATAGTGTTACAATCAAGAACATTACTTTTTAATACTATAAATCTATATGCAGCAGTATATTGAGCATAACCAATGAACATATAATCAAAAGTTTTTGACCTAACTTTCCTTTTCTTAGGATCATGAAGCATAACCTTAGCAAGACAACCCCAAACTTTTAAATATTTCAAATTAGGAGAATGCCCTTTCCATAGTTCATATGGAGTCTTATTAGTTTTTTTTTTTTATATAAAGAATTCTATTTTTTAAATGACATGCGGATAGAATTGCTTCATCGCATAAATTATCGAGTGTAAAAGAACTAACAAGCATAGCTCGATCATTTTCTTCAAAGTTCTATTTTTTCTTTCAGCTTACACCATTAGATTGAGGAGAATAAGGAGGGGTAACTTCATGAATTATTCTTTTATTTTAACAAGCACCATCAAACATCATATATTCACCACCTCTATCTTATCTAACTCTTTTAATCTTTCTACTAAGTTGATTTTTTACCTCGACTTTATACAACAAAAAAATGTTAAAAGCCTCATTTTTATTTTTTAACAAATATACTTTTGTATATCCGGAACAATCATTTATAAAGGTGACATAATATTTCTTACCCTCTCTAGTCATAGTGTATTTTAGGTCTTCTAAATTAGAGTGAATCAAACTAAGTAGTTTAGATTCTCTATATACGGATGCACAAGTTTTCTTAATAGATTTTGGTTTAACACAAATACCACATTTATCCACATAAGAGTTAACACTCGATATCAAACCAATGGATTGTATTTTTTGGATATAGGAAACATTAACATATCCTAGTTTAGCATGCCATAAATCAATAGAGTCGATCAAGTAAGCAGACGAAGATGCATTATTCTCATTCATAATAGATCAACATTAAGTACAAAGAGGCCTTGACTAAGATAGACTTTTCAAATAAAAATATTATTTTTGGTCATAACAAATTTGTCACATTTAAATGAAACTTTAACCTCATTCTTTCCCGAGTAAAGCCACGTAAATAAGATTTACTTTAATCGCTAGAACAGGAAGCACCTCGTTCAAGGCTAAAGTCTTGCTTGAAGTGAGCTTCAATTGGACTTTTTCTTTCCCTAAAACCTTTACAATGTGAGAGTCTCTAAGGTAGACCACTTCTTCTTCATCCCTTATAGGAGTGTAGGAGGAGAAAACATTTTTAGTTTTAAAAAGCCTTAGAGTCTACCACCCGAGTCTCTCATATATTGCCATAAGATTGGCTTAAGAAATTATAACAATAATTATATCATTTCCCTATACAAGATTTACCTTAGGAGGATTCTCATTTCTCACTCTCCTCCTATATTGAGCTGCATGATGGCTAGGATTCTCACAAACAAAGCAATTTCCTTTCTTTTTGAAGATGGGGTTAGCAACCTTAGGCTTATAGTCATGTTTTTTATAAGCATACCTCTTGTTTTGAAACTTAACTTGTAGTAAGTTTTCCTTTGAAGTCAATTCCCTAGCCTTGGAATTTTGGATCTCTTTTTGATTAGTATCTTCAATTATTATATGAACGATTAAGTCAGCAAAAGATAATTATTTTTGCTTGTACTTTACCCGGTTCTTATAGTCACTCCAAGAGTCCGATAACTTTTCAATCAACATCCCAGCCACAAAAGTCTTATGGTAAGGTGATGTTTTCTACCTTTAGATCTTTGAGCGACTTGTGATATTTATTGATTTGAGCCTCGATGTCTTTGTCATTTGTCATCTCACTTTTGTAAAAGTTTTCAATTACGGATTTTTGTTTCCCAACATCTTCAACGAGTGTAATAGGTAACCATCGACTCCGAAATTGTTTTCAACTTCTTATAAGTGCGGTAAACATCTAACAAGTCATTAGATGATTATTGATTATAGTGAGTCTACGTACCTTATTGTCATGAATCCATGCTTCGCATTTGTATCATTTTTGAGGTCGGATAATGCCCAAGCCATAACAAGCATGTCGAGTATGAAATAAATACATTCCTACCATCTTTTGAAGTTTTAACCACCAAAGACTTCTATTTTGAAAATGTTGAAAAATGGTTTGATAAATGACATTATTGGAATTAAAGGCACAACAACCGTAGAGACTCCACCATGGATTACGGTAGGCTCGGTCTAGTTTTGGACAAAGAAGAACTCCTATCACTAGTAGCAACATCATTAACGAGTGGTGGTAGTAGTGTCCATTGCAACAATTAATATCTTTAAGATTGTCAATTAAAAATAAAAGGGTAGGCAAATGATAGTTAATGGTTGGAGTCGTGTAATCACCATTGTTAAGGATATTATTTTGTATCCCCCAGGATAAAACCAACCTTTTTGGAATCAAAACTAGGAACGAAACAGAAAAAATAATGAGAACCTAGAAAAGAACTATGAAGCGAGAGAAAGAGAGAGGATTTTTTTGTGTATACTCAATATTGGTAGCAAAGGTGGTATTTATAGGCTAATTTAGGCTAGTTTGATGAGAGAAAGGTGAGATAATGGTGGAGCAAAATCAAAGAATACCACAAAAAATGCGGATCGATAAATGATCATAATGGACTCGTTCCATGGAAGCAAAAATGGAGTTATTTTGAACAAATCCGGGTTTAGGCGAGAAAATTTAAATAAATGCTCTAAAACAAAAAGGTTTGAATTGGGCCTTATTATTGCCCATGGGGGATAAACGGGTCGTTTTGCCTTAGCTTGGCTTGACTTGTTTGTGCACCAGCCCAATCTGAAGTAAACGGATCGTTTTGCCTTAGTTTAACCCGACTTGTTTGTGCTCGAGGCTAATTCATCTTGGTTGCCTTCTACAAGCTCATGACACACTTCTCTTAATAAAATGTTATCTCATACCTCTTCTTTAGTAATGTAGAATAAAAAGTTTTGATAACCTTTTGAAATATTCACAACACATTGCCAATCCAATTAAACTATAAATCTTAACATGTATGGCACCTCAAAGCTTCGACTATTGAATAAATACACCTTCCGTCTTATTATAATCGGAAAAATATGTTGGAAAACATTCAAATTGGCACATGGGTTGAATGTGAGAGTGCATTTTTGCTGTTTACAAGGGCAACTTCGCTATTTTAAGGCAAACCAGAGGGTACATCCGAGGTAGAGTGTATTTTAAACTAAAAAAAAAATAAAAACGCGCAGGCCAGCTATGCAAAAACGTAGGCTGGACTCGTCAGAGACTCCTCCACTCTCTACTCTCCACTCTCTCTTATCTCAGCTTGTTGGAAGAAGGGAAAAAATCAAATTCATTTAAAAAATAGTACTGTAATAGGAGTGGCAATCAAAAGCAAAAGAACCAGACAACAGTTTAAAGCAAGGAAGAAAAAAAGTGAAAACCATTTACGAAAATAGCAAAGCATCGCTCCTTTAAATTCACTACAAGTTTCTGCTTCTTTCTCCTTCGCCAAACGCGGAACTTCCTCTCTCACACTCACTCTACTCTCTGTGTGTGAATTGGGAATTTAAGTGAGTTTTTGCTCAATTTTGGTCAATTGATGTTTGATTTTTAGTTGTGGAAGTGAGATTGAAACGGCAGATCGCTGTCGTGTTACTGTTTCGAAGTAGAATCTCACATGCTCTGTTTTCAGCTCAGCGAGACATGTGAGTATCAACTGTACATGCATGAATTTTTGATATTAAAGGTTGTTTATGAGTGCATAGAATTTTGAATTTGCGATCTGATTTGCGTTAATGAATGAATTTCAAATGATCTACTTGTTTTTTATGCTTTTTGAGTGGAAGATTTTATATTTGAATTTCTTTAATGCAATCAGAATTAATTGTGTATAAAAAACATGAAGAGCACGTTATGCTTATTGGATTGCGGTTAAACTGTGAAATTGACTTCTTGTGCGACATAGAACATATTAAGTATGAGAATATTTTTAACAAGAACTGATTTAAGTATGCAGCAAAATGTGGCAATCTGGACAGCTGAAAGTTAATGTGGAAAAAAATAAAATGAAATGGTGTTGTTGATGCCGAAGTGCTAGTGATGGAAGATTCGATAGTTATCATTTTGGACATGGCACAACATGCCAAAAGGATGCTTGAATATTTACACACTGAAAAATTCTTACATCAAGTGAGGAGAAATATTGTTTCGTGTAAAGGTTATTGCACTTCCTTTTGTGTTAAACCTTGTTTTATCTGGTTAAGGCCATTGGTTTCTTTTCGTAGAAAGTTTATTTGTTAAGTGTTCTATTGAAAATACTCAAATCTCGCACTTCAGCGGGCTACTTGGAAGTAAATCCTTCAGGTTAGTTAGATAGACCACTGATTTCATTTTGTTGTTTTCAAATCTTACTATAAACTCTTGGTCTGATTGACAGGTAATATTCACTGCAACCAGGTCGTAGGAGTGGCTTTTTTATGAAACAATTGTATCTCTGAAGAGTTGGGGCATTAATGATTGTACTACACATGTGTATGACCCTACTGAACCAACTGATCCTTGGGAACATAAGTTTTAAGTGCAGGCAAGAAGTTCTGGTACTTGGTTCATGTGGGTGGCGATGTGTCCTTTTCTAATGCAATGGTGCGTTTGCTGTTGCATTCTTTTAGCGCATTTTTGTGCATGTGTTTCTTTTGGGCCTGGACAGTATGAGGGTGGAGGCATTTGGTCAGGAAATGGGTTACATAGCTCTGGATCAGTTTCAAGCAATCACTCTAGAAGCAGCACCTCTAGCTATGTCAAAACATTTAAATTTTCCCTCCCATTAAACAGTTCTGTATCCTGCGAGGACCTAGAAGGAGTAGGATCATTTAATACCACCTGCTTGGTAAACTCAAATCTGTATTTAAATTCTGATCTTTATATTTATGGATCGGGAAACCTAGAAATACTTCCGCATGTTTCAATTGCATGCCCAATAGAAGGATGTGTGGTGACGGTTAATATGACTGGAAATGTTAACATTGGCCAATATGCAGCAATTGTTGCTGGTTCAGTTGTTGTTGCTGCTGCCAACTTGACGATGGATAGTCACTCTTCTATAAATACAACAGCCTTGGGTGGATCACCACCACCTCAAACTAGTGGTACACCAGTTGGGGATGATGGAGGTGGTGGGGGTCACGGTGGCCGTGGTGCTTCATGTTTGAAAAGGAACAAAACAAGTAATTGGGGTGGTGATGTTTATGCTTGGTCAACCTTGGCTGAGCCATGGAGCTATGGTAGTAAGGGCGGTGGCACATCTTCTCTGAATAAATTTGGAGGGAATGGTGGAGGACGTGTTAAGCTCCAAGTGAAGGAGATATTGTACTTGAATGGATCTGTCACTGCAGAAGGTGGGGATGGGGGACTGAATGGGGGAGGTGGGTCTGGTGGAAGCATATTTGTGCATGCTGTGAAGCTGTGAGTACTCTCTGTCTGAATAGAGTAATTCCATGTTTTTTTTTTCCCATGGTAATGGATATTGTTGTCTGGATGTTATCTACTAGTTGGGCAACTAAGCTTCATTACTCGGGGTCACTAGCTTTTCATTATCAATAGGCACTCTTGCACAGAGACCTTAAATAAATTTGTCAAAGTATGATCGAGTTTTGAATAGGCTATTTGCACTGCTTTAGAATGGCACATCCTGGGCTCCATAATTATCGAGTAACCGAGCAATGCAATTAAAACAATTCATTTCTAGGGTATTCTATGTGTTACGCCCTTGAAGTGATTTCCTCGAGTGTGTGTATCCCTTTTGGATAGTCTATTATGACCAGAAGTTGGGAACCCCATTCTTGTGGAGCATAGAGAAACAAAATCAGTTTATGATCATCTATCTACACTTCAAAAGTTGACTGGAATTGAATGCTCTTGGCTTGACTATTAAGGCTTTGCTTGGCTACCTTCTTTATCATTTCTTTCTTATTGTCTGTTACTTTGCACAATTCTTTAGAAGCCTCCATGATTTTGCTCCCAAGTCATACACTTTGTTGGCTATAAGCTTTGAAACAAAGGGATCAGATTTATCCTAGATCTGAAACTTCCTATGCATCATTTTTTACTGTATCTTCACTTGCTCTATGCTTTCTGAGAGGTTCATCCTATTTCTAGCAAGAAATTTTTTAATTCTTTGGTCAAGCATGTTGCTTTCAATGCTGTGTAGCTTGCAGCAGTTTTGATTTGGATGTCTAGTTCGGTGACATTTTAGCAGCATGCATCTTCAATCATATTTTGACTACCCACTTTTTGGGTCAACTTTACTATGTCTGTCAATTGATAGCCATTTCTTGGCCCTCTAGGTGAAGCCAGTGAATACAATAAAAGGATTCTATAAGTAGAACAAAGTGGGTCTTATCTAAAGGTCTGAGTATAGAAGGTTGTAAGAAGCTTGAATCCCGCATTGTTTATTCTATCGTATAATTAAATTAATGTTCTTGTTGTTGTTGTGGTTATTATATTATTACTTAGATGGAAAGATAGTTTTTGTTTTGTTTATACTTCTCGTACTGTTTTCAAATTAGTTTAACATTTTCTATTTCTTAAAAGGGTTTTGGAAGCTAAAAGATGAGATTTTAGTTACTGGAATTTCCCTTTTCTTGGGCCATTTTTGGGGTAGTATACTGATGAGATTTGTATTTGATATATTGCTTATCATATCAGGATTAGGAAAGAGATTTTTCAACTTTTGTGCTGCTGTTTTTTTTTTTTTTTTTTTTTTTTGGGTTTATTTGTTTATACAACTTCTTGCATTGTGTTTTGATTGCACAGGAAGGGATATGGAACTATTAGTGCAGCAGGTGGAAGGGGATGGGGCGGAGGTGGCGGTGGAAGAGTTTCTTTGGATTGTTATAGCATACAGGAAGATGTGAAAGTTACTGTGCATGGTTTGTTCTTATAACACTTCTGTATCTAGTAATCGAAGCAACTTTGTTTAACTTATAATATTTCATTCATGTGCAAGAGGGTTCACTTGCTAAATAAATCTTAATGGTACATACTGGAAGTTCCTTTTGATGAGATCAAGCCATTTAATTACCAGTCTTGAACTCAAAAGGTTTGATGGATTTTTTTCCCTATGATTTCATAAAGAGGTGCCAAGCTGATCTATACACTTGCAATAGGGTACATGTGAAACCAAGAAAGTTTGATTGTTACCAGACGATGTGGGGGGTGGTACTCGGATTTCTGTTGCCTGCAAGCTGAATTCAGCATATTTCATATCTCATTTCTTAACTAGTATTTCTAATTTCTTACACAGTCATTATCTTTTCAATTGTGTCGTTGTTTCCTCTTTAACACGTTTTTCTCTGTCTTCATTGTAAGCAGCAGCTAATATGTTTTTCTGTACCTATCATCATGTATGGATTTCTTGCAAGAAGATGGAACTTTCCATGTTTGTTTTGAGATAAATCTTGTGTTTTCTTGTGGCAGGTGGTTTGAGTATTGGCTGTTCTGGGAATGCTGGAGCAGCTGGAACATTCTTTAATGCAGATTTACTTAGTTTAAGAGTGAGCAATGACTATGTGATGACAGAAACAGAAACCCCTTTGCTCGATTTTCCTACTATGAGGCTATGGTCAAATGTTTTTGTGGAGAATTATGCAAAAGTTTTGGTTCCACTGGTTTGGAGCAGGGTTCAGGTTGTCTAACATTTTTCTTCATATATGCATATGTTACTATTTTGTTGAATTGGTCACTTGTTTGTGCTCCCTGCCTGTGCCAACAAGAAGTTTTAGCACCTAGTATTCAATATATTGTCTCTCAAAGCTTATGTTTCTTTAAGAATGAACATGATTTCTCAAGTAAACCTGTCTGCTCTAGCTCTTAGATGCAGTGGTGTTTTGTAGCTTGTGAATTTCATGGTTCTTCTTGAATAGATAATATGGCAGTGCATTATTACTTGTCTGTAACCCGATTTCTGACTTTTCATGGGCCAGGAATGGATGTGTAATATGATGACGCATTTCCACCTGGAGATTACATGCCAACAAATGTTATAATTCACCTTGACATTGCCACTTTTGAAATTAATATTTTTTTATTTAAAATTTTAATTTTATATGATTATTCAAGATCATAAATTGGTTTTACATGCAATCTACTTAACCTATGTTTATTTGTGAAGATTGTTAACTGAACTAGCACAGTAGGTTTTCCTTTGAATCCGTAATTGTTTGAGCCTTTGTCATTTGTGATTTTTGAAGCTTGAGTTAATGAAGAAGGCAATTTATAAATGTGTAATATAATTTTGTTTAAAGTGATCTAGGTTCACGAGACATCTTCACCTAGGAGATTTCATGAACTTTTCTCCAGTAGACACTTTTTCCTTGGACTTCAATATGACAAAATTGAAAGCATATTTTCTGTTGGCGGGGTTGTAAGATTCTTGGACCATTATTCTGCCATAGTTAGCCATGGAATCTGTTGTTTCTAGTACTTTTTGAGTGGTTGTTCTTTGTCTTCCAGCGGTATCTGTGAAGAAGTTTGGTCTTCTTTGGCGCCTCTGTTTTTCATAAAGTGTCACTGTTCTTTGCTGCATGATGAATTTCTCACATTCTGAAGAATACATTGTTTCCAACTCCTTGAATGCATAGGTCAGAGGCCAGATTAGTTTATATCGTGGAGGCAGCATTATCTTTGGATTGTCTGAGTTTCCAGTATCAGAATTTGAGCTAATAGCGGAGGAACTGTTGATGAGTGATTCTATCATAAAGGTATCTTTGTTGAACAATATTCATTTTTCATTTCTGTATGGGCCGAATCGATATACACATGTCTCTTGAAATCATTCATGGAGTTAAACAAAATATTTAATGGGGAAAATCCAGCTTAAGTTAAACACATATACACTCAGAGCCATATGCATCACGCATATAAAGATAACACTTTTTGGGTGAAAAGTGGATACACAAATTTGTAAGATACTAATAATATTTAGACTTTTATTGGAAAGATAAATGAGGTGTAGAAGGAACTGGATCTCTTTGTTTTTCTTCCTTTCCTTTTTTTTTTTTTTTTTTGGGAAGATGGGGTGGAGGGTTAGTGGGGGTACAAGGATTGTGGAAAAATAGTAGATTGAGACTTCTGTTTGAAGATCCAAATTCCTCCCAATTCTATCATACCATCATACAAACAATTGGATACTCTGACATCTTCAAAGGGACTAAAAAAGTGTCAAGGGCTGAAGAAACATGTTCTTCTTCCGAATTCTTGAAAATATAGATGCATGTATTTTGAAGATTGGAACGATGTAATGCTATAGAGGAAGGAGCATCATCCCCTACCAATCGAGAAAAACAAATACTGAAGCCATTCTACAATTTGCACTGGATAGATTATCAATGAAGAGAAGTAAATAAAAGAGATTTAATTTTGTAAGTGCTTAAATGAGTGACAGTAGCTTCAGCCCATATCCCTATTTATACTATTGAGAGAGGTGTGTGTTTGAATATGCAGTGAGATTGGGGAGCTTTTTTGTGTTACTTTGGAGGATGTCTTGTGCTTGATTTTGTATTCTCTCTCCTTTTGTCAATGAACTTATCTTATCAGAATAAAACATTTCCACATTGCACAAAATAATTTGTCTAATTAATAGAAAAGGTTTGAGTCTAGCCTGCTAATTACTACCGGTTTATTGTAGCCATATTTCCTAGGTAGTATCATTGAGAATAAATAAGAGTGAATGCAAGTAATAGAACAAGGTATCTCCTTAATGGAAAAGAGACAAAAATGAAAAGAAATAAAATCAAAAGGGCTTTCAATCCCTTTGCATGCCAATTTTTGCAGCCATATTTAGCATATTTTAAAATCTTTTCTCTTTTGGGATTGTTCTGAGTTTCTATTCTTCGAAGATTGCATAGATATATCCTGTATTTTCTGTTGAGGACCTAAATCTACCACTTCCCAAAATGAAGGTTTTTGGCGCATTTAGAGTTTCTATCAAAATGCTGCTCATGTGGAACTCCAAAATTGAAATAGATGGAGGTGGAAATACTGTTGTCACTGCTTCTGTCCTTGAAGTCAGGAATCTGATTGTTCTAACGGTACGCTGGTTTCAACCTAGTTTTAGAGTTTATCACTTACGTTAAACATATATCATGTTTGTCTTCTATTAAAAATCTGAAGCTGTTATTTACTTGTTTTTGCAGGCAGGCTCTGTTGTCAGTTCAAATGCAAACTTGGGGTTATATGGTCAGGGACTACTGAGGTTGACAGGTCCTGGTGATGCAATTAGAGGCCAGCGACTTTCCCTGTCTCTTTTTTATAACATTACTGTAAGCCATTAGCATGATATGTTTCGTCCTTTTTTTTATTTATAGTGTTGTGTTTAATTTAAGGTCTATTGTAACCTTTGTACCATGTTAAAACACCAAGTGTGTTAAAGATTAATGGCTTGTTTAGCATGTAATGTGCCTAATACGACGGTCATGCAACACACATAGATTTGTAAGCTCTATCATGTTCTGAGAGATGGTTGCAAGGAATTGTTGAGACGTTTGATATTTTGCTCCTAGCAGTATGTGAAGACAAACATTCAAGGTTGATAAAAAGATGAGTGTGGTTTGGATATGGGTCCTATGCAAAAAAGTCAAAATGAAAACCGTGTTGATACACTGGAGGACATAAAAACACTATCCTCTCCCACCCACTCTTTCTTCATCCTTTTCTGTGATATTGTTAGAAGCTGAAATTCCATGGCAGTGTTGATTAAAAAAATGGCATGAAGGTGCCATCTATTCTATTTGCTTCGGCTCTCTTACTTTGTTCAAATTAGAATATAATCATGTATGAATTCCTTTTATCCTTGGATCTTATGCGTGAGAGATTATGGGTACGGTGGCATTTCTTGATGATGTCTGAAACAGTTCTAATCTCATTATGGCATTACAGTTTTGGAATACATTTGGCAACAACTCCTTATGACTCCATGCCAAATACAGGTTGGACCTGGTTCTTTACTTCAAGCTCCGTTGGATGATGATGCTAGCAGAAGTTTGTGAGTATGAACTTCTATTTGAAGTATTGGGATATGCTGTATTAATACAATTAGAGCATCATAATATTTCCTTTATTGTCGAAACTTTTTCTTATTTTATTTTATGTTATTGTTGTTGCAGGGTTACAAAATCACTTTGTGAGAGTCATACATGCCCAATAGATTTGATAACTCCCCCAGATGATTGCCATGTTAATTACACACTGTTGTTTTCACTTAAAGTAAGAGTTGAATTTAAAGTACAATTATTTCAGATACTAGTTTATGTCTGTGTTCTCAGGCAGATAGAAAATGACTCTTTGTGTGAGGCTAATCTTGCTTGAGTTCAAGCATATTTAAGCAACCAAGGAATTAAAGGAACAAAATATATTAGGAGAAGTTGACAATAGTAAAATATAATAAACCAAGGTACCATTCATAGAACCTCAAAAGTTATCATCATTGTTTTCCTTCAACATCAGCTCAAGTTTGCGAGTTGCAGTTTGTGGAGTCATCCAAGTGCATGTAAATGTTTCAACACAAAGGCTGGCTAGAAATGCCATGAAACATCATATCCGTGCCACTATCATAGATACATTGAGTAGCTTTGGCATTTTATAGCATATATTTATTCTTAAAACCCATCCATTTTTAGTGCTTTCAGGGTAGAATTACTTGATAGCACCACAATAATAGCTGAAGTGCTGCATTTCTTTGGAAACTATCTTTTTATATAGACCTTGTAATGGCATAAATTGAAGCATGTGTTCATTTCATGTGTTATACAGCATCTTCAGCATGTCATTCTTGGAATTTTTGTTAGTTTTAGGGACTCAAAAGTTTATTGGATGTCTGTGCAACTGATGCCTTGATGATCCTCTCAGTTTTATTTTTTACCAGTTTAGACTCCTTCAAGCGGTTAATGATCCTGGTTTTGTCATTTCCGTTTTGATGTCTCAATGTTGGTCGGTCCTTTATTCTGTGCAATCTCTTAATTTGCAATTGTTTCATGGCTTCAACTCTTCTTTCGATGTATCAGCTCTTCTGCTTCTATCGTGTTTACTTGTGGAATCTTTAAAAACTAAAATTTTCACTTTAAATTTGGCAGATTTGTCGTGTTGAGGACCTCATTGTAAATGGCATTATAAAGGGGAGTATTATCCACATCCACAGGGCGAGAACTATCATTATTGATCATGATGGCTTGATTACTGCATCGGAGTTAGGTAGTAGAGGGTATTTGTAGCATTATTCTATTTCCTTTTTTGGCTGATGCATTATCATTATTCTAACTGAACTGCTTTTTGAGGGAGTAACCCCGGCATCTGGTTGTATGTTTTTAATTCTAAGCTGCAGAGCTCCTTTTCAGGTTGCAGTGGTGGTATTGGAAAAGGGAACTATTCCAAAGGGGCTGGTAGTGGTGCTGGACATGGCGGAAGAGGGGGTTCAGGTTGTTTTAATGGGATTGTGAGTAATGGCGGCAATAAATACGGTAACGCTGATCTTCCTTGTGAATTGGGAAGCGGAACCCAAGGTCCCAATCGGTCATATGGAAATGTGATTGGAGGGGGAATGATTGGTAATATTTCCTTAAAGTCAAGTTTAACAACAAAATTTTCATTTCACCTTATGTTATTTTTGTGTTTACATTCAATTGTGATGCTCGCATATTTCTGAGCAGTAGTTTACATATATGCAAATATTAGCAATCTTATTCTGTGTGCTTTGAGTTTCTCCACTTAACAGCATACTGTTTGACATCATTCCCAGATCATACTTGCTAACTTGTGCTTCATGTTTGACAGTGATGGGCTCCATCCAGTGGCCTCTGTTAAGACTCAACCTTTATGGATTTTTGAGGGTAGATGGTCAAAGATTTGATAAAGCATCAATAAATAGTAATGCTTCTTTGATTGGTGGACTTGGTGGAGGTTCTGGAGGGACGGTTCTTCTTTTCTTGCAAGAGCTTATGCTTGCAGAAAACTCGTCTTTATCTGTTCGTGGGGGCAATGGTGGCCCTCTTGGTGGTGGGGGAGGTGGGGGTGGAAGAGTTCATTTTCATTGGTGTAAGATAGACACTGGGGACAAATATGTTCCAGTTGCAAGTGTAAGAGGTTCAATTAACATAAGGTATGCTTTTTTTTTTTTTAAATATATAAATACATGTACATACATAGGCATGTTATGTGATATTAGAGCTCATAAAGCTCACAAAATTCCAACGTAGAAACCACTATGTGGACTTTTTCATCAAGGCTGGATATGCTAAAGTGCTTTCAACTTTTTCCTTTTCTCTCTTCTCATGCAACATGTATTAGACTAGTTATATCATAACTAAGTTATTTTCTGACAAGGGAATGCCTTATTTGGAGTTGCATATAACATACAAGAAGTTTACTTCATAATGTCTAACAGTGGAGGTGCTGGAGGAAATGGTGGTCTTTTTGGGGAGGAAGGCACAGTCACTGGGAAAAAATGCCCAAAGGGCCTCTATGGTACATTTTGCAAGGTACCTTTTTTTCTTACACTGCCTTCATGTTTTTGTTGGTTGCTTCATTCTTGAAGTTAATGTAGTTAGGGCAGTTTATAGGCAGGGGCAGGCCAGCTATTTATGCAATTCCTGCATGTTTTCAGGGGATTTTGATAATTAGAGTCTTCTAGGAGCACTAGGAGGTTTAGTGTTGTTAGCTTTGAGTCTTGAAGTTGTTTTTCTTCGTGCTATTTGGAATTCCTAAACAAGGAAGAGCCAAATAATCTCCATAAACTTGGTGGTGTGATTATTATGCTAAAGTAATTTCTTTAACCTAAAATGGTTGACGTATAAATAATTAAATATGCAAAAATATTAACATGCTCGAAAAAATGGACCAAGTGGATAGTGAATGCATGATGTGTTTTTTTTTAAAACTTCATGTATTGGGCACAAATTGGGATAAATGTAATTTAAAATCTATTTTTCAAATGCTCAAATACTTTCTAATCTAACTAGCAACTTAGGAAAAACATCGATGGGAATTCATGTTTGCATGATTGATGCATTTCACTACCCAATTGTAACTTGTCATTGTTGCGAGGTAGTAATTTTTTTCTTAAAAGATAAATAAGAAGTTGCAAAATAAGGTTGGAATGGTAGAATTGATGTTTCCAAATTTTCATACCAACATTTAAGGGATAGCAAGTATGATGTTTTGTTTTTCCTAGTCAGAGGCATAAGATTATATGATAAAGTGAAAATCTACTAAATCATACCTAATGCAATTATATAAACTATTTATTGTGAACCATATCTAATTATATGAAGAATCATATGGAGAAATTCTCAGAAACCTTTTTTAGCTTTTACCTGCAATTAAAAGAAACAAATTTATGGATATGTATACAAAATGAAGAATTTGGTGCTCAAGAATAGAAAGATCGAATGAAAAATTTCACTAGACTGCATCTTTTCTTTCCTTTCTTGGTTATTGCATTGTTTGCTTGACTCGCCTCCTATAATTTAATGATGCAACTTATCTTTAGGAATGCCCTCTTGGTACTTTCAAAGATGTTGATGGCTCTGATGAAAGCCTTTGCATTCCTTGCTCTCTCGATCTTCTTCCTAGTCGTGCAAATTTCATATATGTACGAGGTATTTCTGATTGATATTACTCTCTCTATCACTAAATTTTTAATTGATGTGGTCTGATACTGAAGTCAATGGTCATTGCAGGGGGGTTAGTGAGCCATCGTGTCCCTATAAATGCATATCTGACAAGTACAGGATGCCAAATTGCTATACTCCTCTTGAGGAGCTGGTGTATACATTTGGAGGCCCTTGGCCTTTTTCCCTAATTCTTTCTTTCCTTTTGGTGCTTTTAGCTCTAATGCTGAGTACAGTGAGAATCAAGCTGGTAGGATTAGGTTCTTGTTATGGTGCACGTTCAGTTGAGCACCAGCGTCATCACCACTTTCCACATCTACTTTCCCTATCAGAGGTACTTTGATAGTAAACTGCCTTTGACTATATACTCTGCAGCTATAAATGGGTCAGGATACTGCATGCTGACAATTTCACATTTAATTCTTATTTTAAATCCAGGTGCGAGGAACTAGAGCTGAAGAAAGTCAGAGCCATGTCTACCGAATGTACTTTATGGGTCCCAATACTTTTAGGGAACCCTGGCATCTTCCTTACTCTCCTCCCAATGCAATTATTGAGATTGTGTAAGTGAACTGGATGACCTTCAAGGACACCAAAGGATGACACAATTGGCTATTTTTTTCAACATAATGCCTGTGGTTAATTTTTTATTTCTCAGATAATATTCAATGATTACATTTTTCTCACTCAAAATTCTTGACCCCAGCAGACTCAATCCACTTCTTGATGCTGACAAGATAAAGTAGACTGCAAAGCTTTGTTTTTCCATTTCTTTCCTGTATACCTTTATCCTATTGAACTTACTCTTGCTCTTAGATATATGCTCCTTTGTGCATTGTTAATACATACCTGGACATACTTTGCAAGCCATGAAAGTGAAGGCACAGATTGTGTGAGCCTCCCCGGTTTCCACCTTATTCTGTATCTATCGATTATTACTTATAATGGAACCTTTTTGATCTGCATGCAGGTATGAAGATGCTTTTAACAGGTTTATTGATGATATAAATTCTGTTGCCGCATACAATTGGTGGGAAGGGTCGGTCCACAGCATACTCTCAGTGCTTGCCTATCCTTGTGCATGGTCCTGGAAACAGTGGCGGCAGAGAAATAAAATTCATCGACTTCAGGAATATGTCAAGTCTGAATATGACCATTCGTGTCTTCGCTCTTGTCGATCTCGTGCCCTATACAAGGGGATGAAGGTTTGACTTCTTGTTTTCTTAACTTTTCAGTTGCTTCATTTACAGAACTTCACTTCCTTTAAGGTGTTTTATTTCTCAATACTTAAAGCTAACAGTGAGTTCTCATTTTCTCTGACATGATACTAGCGCCCCTTAACTTTATTATTGTCTTAATGGTGGTTGCAAATCTCCAATAAATGCTCATGCATGCAATAATGTTTTTCTTGTCTTTTGAAGCTCGTAATTTATTCAACAGGATAAAATAATGTATTCATGAGCAAATGCTGTGTTCTGAAGCTCTTAAATAAATGCTCATGAATGCAAAATGCTGCTATAGCTGACCAATAAGCCATTTCTGTGTTGTGCCAGCCCATTTTAATTATTTTTTTATGATATTTTATCAACTATGTTATTTTTCTAATTAAATGAAAAAAATATACAAATATGAGTGACCTAACTACCTCATAAATTGTAGACAACATCCAGGTTGCTAATGGTTTTCTTTTGGTTTTAAAGACTCATGAATTGTGAGCTAATAAAAAATTTAAACAAATAAGGCCTACTTTTGTTTTAAATTATATAGAAATAAGTAAATTTTGTTTTGATAAGTAGGTCATTATGCTGAAGCATGACCAATTTGGGCTGTGTTGTGCTAGTCTCGTGCTGAAGCATGACCAATTTAAGGGTGTAAATCCAAATGACCTATAGTTCAGGGAGTCTGTGTACGGTTTAGCTTTTTGCTGAATTATTTTTTCAAACAGTTTCTATTAGTGTTTTCTGTATTCTTTTTTAAGTGGGAGAATATCTATCTTTTGGGTTAATGGTTGCAGAGGTATATCTACTTGTTCTTGTCTTTTTCATATCTTTTTACTCTTTTTCGTCTTAAGTTCATTTCTTTTCATTTGGTTTCTGTTTTAATCTCATCTCTCGATTAATTTTTGGACTAATGGTGTTATTTTTTTTTTTCTGTTTTAAATTCATCCCTCTAATATATTTTTTTCGTCTTATTTTTTTTCGAATTTAAATAAATAAATTTTGGAAAATAAATAAAAAACTAAAAAAAGGTGAAGCTAAAAATATTTTTTTATTCAAAATATCTTTAAATTTATCTCTATAATAATAAGTAAATTTTAAGTATAAAATGATACATTCATACTTTTTTTTCAACACCAACAAAAATTTAATTTTTTTCACTTTTGAGTTAAATTAAGAAATATATAAAATCAAAACGAGTAAACTATGATAGATCTCATTTGAGTTATTACAAAATTATAAATACCATTTAAAAGTTTAAAAATTTAACTAAAACTCTCTTCATATTTAAAATCTATAAATATATTTCATTTTATACTAAAAATTTGTTTACCATCATAAAGATAAATTTAAAAAAAACATACTATAAATATTTTTATTTTATTCTCAAATTTTTTTTACTATCATAGAGACAAATTTAAACTCATAAAAAATATTTTGGATACAATTTATTATTATTATTATTATTATTATCTTTACCTCTTCTTTTTCAGTTTTTTATTTATTTTTTATTTTATTTATTTTTATAGAGAATGATTGGATATATCTTCACTTCTTTTTTTTTAATTTTTCAAAATTCATTTATTTAAAGAGGGATGAGATTTAGATGGAAAAAAAATAATATTGTTAATCCAAAAATTAATAGAGAGACGAAATTAAGACATAAATTAAACATAGAAGGATAAAATTAAGAGAAAAACGAGTAGAGGGACACGATAAAGATAAAAAAAGATTAGAGGGATCTCAACAACAATTAACCCTCTATCTTTTCATAGTGTTTATACCGGTGGCAATTGATGCAGGTTGGAGCGACACCAGACTTAATGGTTGCTTACATTGACTTTTTCCTAGGTGGTGATGAGAAGCGTTTAGATATAGTGTCTATAATACAAAAGAGATTTCCCATGTGCATAATATTTGGAGGTGATGGGAGCTATATGTCACCTTATAATCTATATAGTGACACGTTATTAACCAACCTCCTTGGTCAGGTATGGCTTTTGGCATAAATTAAGATCAAGTATCTTATCATCCTTCTCCAATGTTCTTCTGACATGCCGAAATACATCATTGCAGCATGTCCCAGCAACTGTCTGGAATCGTTTGGTGGCTGGTTTAAATGCCCAGTTGAGGACTGTGAGGCATGGATCTATCCGTTCCACTCTACTTCCTGTCATTGATTGGATATGTAGTCATGGAAATCCCCAGCTTGAGTTCCATGGAGTTAAGATAGAGCTTGGATGGTTCCAAGCCACTGCTTCTGGTTACTATCAGTTAGGTGCCTTAGTAATGGTCGGTGATTATTCTCTCCATTCTATGCACCAGCCTGACTGTGTAGATAAAATCAGTGGTGAATCAGCAAGGTAATTTTGTGAACTATAACTTATATGTGTTAGTGTACACGTTCTAATTGAATTTAGACCTATTTGGAAGTTGCAGAGACAGACAACAGGCGACAGAATAATATTGATCAGTTAAAGTTGTGAAGTGTTCATTTTCCATTTGTTCTCTTAAAACTGTTTTATTTAAATGTCATTAACTGGAGAGAGAATAGGAATATGCTTTAAAAATGGAGAAAAAATTGCATTTATGGAAAGACAGAAAATCTTGTATACAAAGCAACTTGCACAATATAGTACTTTTATGGAGTGATTGAAACATCTTGTTGCAACAACTTCGATGTTTGGATAGCATGGAAAAATATGGTAGTCATTCCAAATGGACCAAATTATGCTTTTTTCTTGTTTTGTGATTCGTCATATGTCAGTAGCCTGAAATATTATCATCTTATTATCAGCCATCATTCATATTACAGGAACAATGCCTCATGTACGAGCAGAAGTTTTAAGCAGCTGCAGCACGAGCGGCCATACTTGAGTCAAGCTTTATCTCGCAAAAAGATGACTGGGGGAATTAATGGAGGTCTTCTGAATGAAACTACCTTGAAATCGCTGGATTTTAAAAGGGACTTTCTCTTTCCACTCTCTCTCTTATTGCATAACACTAGACCTGTTGGCCGTCAGGTACTGGATGGCTACACATTAAGCAGCTCTCTATTGTTTTTTTTTTTCTCTCTCTCTTTTCCCCTAATTATTTTCTTTTTTTCTTGTTTCAGGATACTCTTCAGCTTTTCATTACAATCATGCTTTTGGCAGATCTTTCTGTCACACTTCTCACATTGCTTCAGTTCTATTGGATTTCTCTGGGTGCTTTCCTTGCTGTTCTGCTTGTTCTTCCTCTATCATTGCTATCTCCATTCCCTGCAGGCTTGAATGCCTTATTCAGCAGAGAACCTAGAAGAGCTTCCCTTGCTCGTGTATATTCACTCTGGAATGCAACCTCTCTATCTAACATTGTAAGTTACACCATAAGTGCAGTACTTTTCTCCCAAACTACTTGCTAATCACTATTTGCAATTGCAAAGCTTCTTAAGTCTTTAAGAGATTTGGCTTTTCAAACAAGTTCCCTTTTAGCCTAGTTCACATTCACTAATACAGTTTTTTAAGTCTATAAGCTAAAGCAGAAACCTGCGCTCCCATAATGCTTACAACTTAAAAATGTATACCCTGGGGGGACAAGAACTCAACACCCTTCATGAATCTTACATGAGTTACTCTCTTTTAGTTGACTTGATAAGCTATAACCATCTTGTTACTTTCTGCAGGCTGTAGCTTTCACTTGTGGTATTTTTCATTATGTAATTTCTTCTTTCCGACCACCTGATGAGGAAAACATGTGGAACATTAGAAGGTGAGGTTTTATATCTAATCTGTGTTAAAACAAATGATTGGACTGTAAGATGAAAAACACTGCCAGTTAATGCACAATAATACACTGCATGCTGATGCAATATACACTTGTATCAGTCCCTAATTATTCAGTTGCTCAATATGAGGAAGTTCAATGACAACTATAAGGTTAATATTACTTCTAGGTTCAATTCATGCTTTTTGTGGACCGAGGGATTCTGATTTGTTAAATTGTCATTCACGTAGACACAGCATATGCATGTATATGCAATATGCATACCCCTGTTAGTAAGTTTTACTTAGATTAATATTTTCGTCTTATTGAATGCTTGTATTGGTTTGAAGGTTTAAATTAACTGGTTTCATTTGTTGAGCCCTTTTCTTCATCTCGTGTCTAGATATTAGTTTCACATGATGTAGCAGCTACATACTAAATGATGGAGATAATATACTTCTTGCATTGGATTTTTTTTATTCTTTTTTTATAATCTGCCGGTTGGTTTCTCTATTTGTTGGACTTGAAGAAAGGCCACATGATCAGATTGGTTGACATTCATCCATGATTGGTCCTTGCAGAAAGAGAATTGCATCAGTTGTGCTCAAAACCCAATGACAGTTACACACACACACACACATATATATGTATGTGTGTGTGTGGAAATTCTCCTGGCTTCTCTTCTCTGCACTCTGTGGAAAAAAATCTGTAAATGGTTTTATTGGCTTTCTTTTGTTTTAGATGTTGAATAGAGGCAACATATGTGAGATATGGTAAAATTAGTCGGAATCATGTGACTTGATCTGTTAACTTAGTCTTGGATGTCTTTAAGGTGACTTAAATCTATTAACTTAGGCCAAGGAGATTTAACTCATCCTATGCTGTATGCCTTGAATAACAGACATTATTTTCCTGCCTCTTTGCACTGCTACTGGTCAAAGTAGTCAAACTAAATTGTGATCTCTTAACCAAGCTGGTTGGAATTTTGGTCAATTTAGCTTTCTGCATTCTTTATTTTTGTTTGTTTTGAGATTGTTTTTATTAAGTATCTGAAATGTTTGATCATGTTTGCTGACAGGGAGGATAATAAATGGTGGCTGTTGCCAACTATCCTTTTGCTGTTCAAGTCAGTACAAGCCCGTTTTGTAGATTGGCACATCGCTAATCTAGAAATCCAAGACTTTTCTTTGTTCTGTCCAGATCCAGATGCTTTTTGGGCCCACGAATCTAGTTTGTGATTTCAAAGAAACTGATGCATGGAAAGCATTATATATCTCAGTTTCTCTGTCTTGTTGACAAGGTCAGGGGAAGAGGCTTTCACCTTTTGCGTCAGGCTGTTTCCGCAGGTGAGACTGCTTTGCTGTGTAAAAATTTGTTCAAAATTGCGTAAAGCATTGGTTATAGGTGTGCAGTTTTCCTTCTTTGTAAGTATAATGCCACAGGAATGACTGGAGGTAAAAAAAAAAAAACTGTGAGCAAGATAGAATCAATCGTACAGTAGATTTTTTGTTCGTTGTAGAAACTACACGAGATTAAGATCATTTTTTGTCAGATAAATCGTTTTGGTGTTCAAACAACCCCTTTTATCTCTTTCTCAAATAATTTTTTGTAAGATAAATCGTATTTGGTCGTACTGTCTTCTATTTTTCTTTCAAACACAGGCGATGGTAGTTGAAGATACTGCTTGTTGCAGTCTTGGCTATGTAATGAGGCATACCTCTTAGTTACAGCTTCGTACTGGTTATCATCTCCTAGTGAATAAGTTTATATAACTCATTTGAATAGATCTGCTAGTTTGAAATGTCATGGCAACAACCAGGTAATTTCCGATGGCAATTTCTGTTTCAGTTGCTGTCCGAAAGTATGGATTGACCACCCAGTGTGGTCCTCATCATGTTAGGATTAGTTTCCTATCAAAAATAAATAATACGGCTGTTTCTATTATGTCTTTTCTTCTTTCTTTTTCTCCCTCCCCTCTTAAATAGGATTAGGACTATCAGTTCCAGCTGTTTGATGGACGGGTAGAGGTGCTGAGGCAGGGGCGCGATCATATATATATATATATATAACTGAACCTATTAATAAATATACAGCTTTGTTATTGTCATATTTTGTGATAAAATGCTTCAAAGGAAAAGTAGAACCTTCAAGTCTCGGGCATGTGAATTGATGCATCCGGACTTAAGATAATTAGTTTTTTTTTTTTTTAATGGCAGAGAATAAGACTGAAGCGCTTTTGTTTGTGCATGTGAAAAAGGAGCTTCCTATAAACCATACGTTACAAAAGAACAACATTTTTTGCATGATTATAAAGATTTGTTAAAAGACTAATGGTGCGGTATTTTTAGTTCATGGGTTGGTGAAAATTTGACTGATATCAGAGGAGATTTCCGAACAATTAAGCCTTCTTTTTGTGAGAAATCTCAATTCAGTACCAAATCTATATATTCGCTCTTTGTTGTGTCCCAAACTTATAACTTTTATTGGTAGGTTTCAGAAGTTTTAAAAAAATTCTCAATCAAGCTTTTTGTTATGTTCATTAACATTTTTGCGAAAGTTTCTTTCAAATTAATGGTGTTTTAGTGCATATATGCAAATTAGAAAAAAAATTTTAATTTTTATTAAATTTTGTCAAAATTTTTCTTAAATCAACACCATATTTAGTGCATAAAATATGATATTAAACAAACTATTTAAAGAAGACGACAAAAATCTTGGTTGAGAATTGTAGAAAATGTTTTGATACTAAAATTGATCAAATTTACAAGTTTGAGATGTAATTGGGAATGAGTACATAGATTTGGGATTAAATCAAGGTTCTCATCTTTTTTTCCTAGAGAATAATGCTTTGATATTTCATACAAATTAAAAAATTTATTAATTGTTAAGTTATATCAGTATTTTGTTTATTTATTTTGAGAATTGTATTTGGATAAATTTTTTTTACAAAATAGATTTTAATTAGGAGTATTTTTAAAGGGCATACTATTTACAGTTTTGACCCAAATTATTTTGAGATAATATAAATAAAAAGACATCTTTTTGAGATGAAAAGAGTATTTATCACTTGAAAAAAAAAAAACGTAAGGCTTTATGGACGTTGGGTGCACAACATAGGATGGTTCTTAGGGTTTGAATTGAAACCTTCAAATAGATATCTCAAGTATTAATCATACCATTGGGGATGCCTCCTAATTTTCTCTGTTACGAAATGGTAAAATGCTTAGGTTGTTTACCCACCTGCTGGACTAAATGAAAGCATCTATGTACGATTTTAATGTTCCAAATTTTCATTCATAGGTTAAAAGCTCGACTGATTTCTTAACATTTATCTCCATTCCATAGTCCTAAGATGTTCTGTCCGTCGCAAGCACCAAATACGAAATGATACGAATAAATCTCCACCACATGCCTCTGTTAGTTTTATTTACGCGTGCAATTATTTACATACATACACATGTATATATCCACTAACCGAGCTGCATGAATTACTAATTATGCATGAAAAGAATGTTCACATACTTCCCCAAAATTCTCGTTTTTTGTGAACAAAATTTGATTCAAAATGATATATGATGTTTGTTGGTTCATAATTTGTGTCCCAAAAAACTACCATCTCGCTAACACTATTAGAAATAAACTCTAAACAGCTGGTGATGCATAAGGAGTTTTTTTTCCTCTTAATAATCTTCTGTTATATCAATATTCTGAACAGAGTTTATAGATTTATAAAAATTAATACCTACATCTAATTCGCTAAAATGAAACCGTTAAAAGAACTTTGTTTGATTAATGATATAAAAATAAAATAAAAATAATAAATAAATAAAATAAAATAATGAGAGTAAATATAACTTGTTATGAAATAATAAATGTCTCTATATATATATATATATTGTTACTTAAAATTCTTAATATGATTTAATTCACTATTCAATATGAGAAATTTAAAATGTGTTACAATTGATTCAACCATTTATGCACTTTTTACCTATTCATAGCCTATTCAAATTCTCTTTCTACTTTTGAAGCCTATAAATAGACTTTATTGTTCATTAGTTTGGGTTGAAATGTTTTTATAGAGATTGAGAAAACTTTTTGGAGTTGTGATCACTTGTATTCACTTTATTTCATTGTGAAATTATTTTTCTATCATTTTTTTTTTCAATTCTTTTACTATTATCACAACGAGTCTTTTATCATTATCATTATTTTTTTCAACACTTTATCAACACAAATTCTAACCAACCGAGATAATAGATAATAAAGTATGTATCTATCAAAAAAACTTAATTATTTGTTTCAATTATTAGATTGACTCAACTATTTGTTTAAATCATTGGATTGTTTTTCTACACGAGTATGCTACTCGAAAAATCTAAATTATCTAGATCATTAAGAAGTATGTGTCTAATTTATCCTTTACTTTAAATCTAATGATATGTACGTTTGAAAAACTTAAATATTTTAATATATAAAATCTAATGATATGTACGTTTGAAAAACTTGAATATTTTAATATATAAAATCTAATGATCTAGTTTGAAAAGCTTAAATTTTATTATTATGTTTGTTTTTATTTCTTAACATTATTATTATAACTTGCATTATAAAATTTTTATCATATTAAACCTCACAAAGCTTGATTTTGTGACCCTTGACATTGTTAACACCTAATTTTCTTAATCTTGTGAGAAAATACAAAAAAAAAAAGTACAAAAAAAAAAGAATTATTTGAAAAAATGGTTTAGGGGTTCAATTAAAAAAAATAGAAAATGTAGTAACCATAAAAAACTCAATTAATGGTGCAATTGAAAGGATTATGACCCAAGATTATAATTGAAAGAAGGAAAGGGGACTATTGACCAAAAAAATCAAGCAAATCAATACTAAAATTGAAAATTGGGAGAAACTAAGGAAAGGGTGCAATTGAAAGGATTATGACCCAAGATTATAATTGAAAGAAGGAAAGGGTACTATTGACAAAAAAAAAAAAAAAACCAAGCAAACCAATACTAAAATTGAAAATTGGGAGAAACTAAGGATCAAAATTAATGTTTACCTAAAACATTAATTTTTTTCTATAAATACCCAACCCCTTCAGCTATTTAGGCTAGACACGGGTTTAAAAAAAAAAACAAAAGCTCTAAAAAAAATAAAAAAATCCGCCAAATAGCCCCTAAGGAAGAAGAGACCCAACCGACTTATCACTCGAACTTGTATACACGTCAACGCTTCTCTTCCTAAATCGGCCATCCTCCGGCCGATATCACCTCTAGAAAGCACCACCAATCAATATCCCACACCTAAATCCATTATTCTTGACCAATTAGAGAAGGAGGAGATGCTCGAACTTGGTTGGAATTGAGGAGAGAAGGCCTACGACTTGACTCGTTTAGATATACGACCAATTCTCCCAAATCTACAAAACAATAATTTCCACCACCATAAAAATGTCTCCCATTAGTCGAATTGTTATTAATTTATTAAACTATTTCAAGTGTTATTCTTAGCCATTTTCATGGTTACTCGTGCCTATCTGTTAAAATCGAGTCCGCTTGTCTAGGATTAAATCTTAGTACTAGCCCATAACGATCAAAGTCGAATTGTGAGCCTATTAATGAAGCCTCGTGAATGAGGCGGATCCGGTCGCGATGTCAATGACCATAGGTCTAATATTGACGAGTGTGACTAATAGTGATAGTGTACATGGACGTGGCATTACCGGTGAAAGTGCTAGGGGCCGCAAACTTAATAGTGGTGCCGGCACTTCGGATCCCCTCGAGATGTGCCCTCGCCAATGATGCCCCCGTCGGTAATGCCCCCTACGGTGAATGATCCCCTATGGTTTCCTCAACTTCAAGAAGCTTTACTAGATCTCGGGATGGACGGACCATTTAGGTGATGAATAACTATTAAGTAATATATTTTAAACTTATTAATTAGTTTTTTGATTTTTATATATTATATTTGAATAATTAATTCACTTGTTTATTATTATTATTATTATTATTGACAATTTAGTTCCATCAAGCAAGTGCTTCATAAAAATCACCGTAATTTTCAAAAAACAATTAGACGTCATTGTCTCCACATGAAAATCTATCTTCATGGAGACGAAAGACTTCTACTTTAATAAGTTTAAGATAATATATTAATTATTTATTTATATTTCATTTAAAGTGTTGATTCAACATGAAAAGTACTAATATTATTTTTCTCGTTCATGTAGAGGTAATTTTTATGGGATGCAATCGTTGACACACCGATTAAGGATGCGTGGGAGAGTTTGACACCGAGGTGGTACGGCAACATGCTTAACAAGCTGAAATATAAGAAAAACATATCCGTATTTGTTAAACATGAGGTATGGGAAGCATGACGTCGGGATTGGGCCACTCTTAAGTATCAAACCCGATCTCGACTCGGTGTCTCGGAACCGCATTTTGGAGATGGATGGTGTTAGTGATAGCCCATCCAAACATATTGAAGGGTCCATCTCTTTGATCAAATAGGTTGAACATTTGATAAATTCTATATTATCTATTATGTTATAAATTAAATTTTATATTTATTTCATCTTATATTATATTATTTATTGATTTTAGCATAATAAATTGAGTTGTAACCTAAATCCTTACGAGCTATTTGTGACTACTCATAAGCGAAAAGACGAGACATTCATTGACAATCGGTCGTAGATAGTAATGGTAAATTTTTTTATATTTTTTAAATATATATACATCTATCGATATAGTTTAAAAAATATATTTATGATTTAATATTATAATTATTTTAATGACATAGAACCACGTATAGTTAATGCAAGAAGCAATTGCTAAGGAGTGGTAGGCGAGTGATTCATTGTCTTCAAATATCGATATATCCAAGATATATTTCGATGTTGTTGGAGGGGAGAATAAGTTGAGAGTGTATGGCATCAAGACTTATGTGTCCTAGTGTTACTCTCATTCCGGCTCCAGACTTCTCCTCTACCACTTTGCAATAACTCGGTGGTAATATCCGGGAGGTTTACGTCCGAGTAGAAAGATAGGATTAAGGAGGCTACTATCCAACAAAAATTCAGTCAACTTAGCAACATACAAACTTAGTTGCGGACGGTAAAGGGGTTGTTACGGAACCTCCAAGCAAACTAATGTCCCTCCCGTTGACCCCTCATACAACCTAGGAGACAATAGTTCCTCTCAACACCCAACAACTGAAAGATGATGTAAGAAATGATGCTAATATCGTGTTTTAATAAGATGTTATTTATAGTAGTTTATTATTATAAATAATAATATACGGCTATTGATTCAAAAAAACTAAAAATTCATTCGTTTAGTGATGGAGTTGCAAGGACATTTAGTGAGAGATATACATATGATTGCTAAATAGCGATGGAAATGCGAGTATTTTAGCGATTATTTTTTAGCGACAGCACGATTACGTTGTTATTTAGTGACGGCTATAAGTGAAAATAGAGACGACATAACAATAGATATAAGACCGGATAGATGATTGTTTAATGATGAAAATTCAACAAAATATTGACGAGAAAAAAAATTCAATCATTAAGTAAATAACGAGCACCATATTAACGATGGAATTAAAATTATCTCTAATTTATCGCTAATGATGTATAGCGACGAAAAAATCCGTCGCTACACGTCAGATTTTTTGTAGTGAGCAACTTTTTTTGCCTTGCTTGAGTACTTATTTAGTCATAACATAAAATATTTATTCTATCAATTTCTCTATAATCATTTCCTTGATTTTATTTAATTTATCTTACAATAGTAACATGCATTGCGTGACGATATGGCTTGCAAAGTTTGTAGTGACGTGTAGCTACGAACAAGATCAAAACAGAAAGCAAATGAGAATTAAAGAAGATGTTTTGGTTTTCTATTTATACATGCCTTCTTATCTTCCCATTCATGCTTGTACATTATCAAAGGGGCCATCTTGAAACACTTACACAAAGAACTATGAAGTGCGCTTTCTCATTGAGTTTCAACTTTGCTTTTGTTTTCCTACTTTTTCGTTGTTCATTGAACTTGAACAACTTGCATCATTATTGCTATGAAGCTGCAAATAGCGATCCAAATTTGAGCAATGACTTTTGTGTAGCATCCCTTGAAGCCAATCCCAAGAGCAATAATGCAAGCCTTGAAGAATTAGTGGAGATCTCAACCAAGCTAGCTATATCAAACGTTACAAACATTAGCTACTACATTTCACAACTTTTGAATGCCAAAAGTATAGACAAATACACTGCGGGTGCCTTACAAGATTGCTTAGAACTTTACTCGGATGCCAATTCCACGTTACATGATTTCATTCTTGATTTGAAGTCCAAAGCTTATTTCAAAGCTAATGTAGATGTTAGTACCGCCATGGATTCTTCAAGTACTTGTGAGAATGGTTTTAAGGAGAGGACAGGTGCGGTTTTTCCCTCAACAAAGGAGAATGACACTTTTTTCCCGTTGACTGCAATCATAATTGCTTTCATCAACATGTTAAGTCGATCATAATTTTTCATTTATTTACACGATGGATAAATAGGCAAGCTTATGTATATGTGGGTGTCTTTGTTTTTGATATCATTTTAATTACACAACCTTGTTGTATTAAGTATGTGCTGATAATTTATTTGCCTCGGTATGCCCGTGTTTTTTAAACTGGTAATAAGCCTAACTGTGCAGTTCATGTTTAGATGCCAAGCGTTAAGAGTGGAATATACGAATGGGATAAATCTTATAATATTACTGTTCATGCTATTCTTTTTGTTTATTAAGAATTCATGACCTTTTTTTTTTTTTCATTATTCGTAGCATGACTCATATGGATGGAGAACTATTCTCATGCTATATATAGACCGTACGATTTATTAGGTCTATTGATGAACTCAAAAGAAAATAATGGAGTACCCAAAAGTTTAGTGCAATAATTGTACTGCTAATATGAAGCTTTTGGGTCCGCATATTGACAACGTTAAATTCATTTACTAAATCCATGCATGGTTATAACTTATAAATAAATAAATAAAAACAAGAAGAACCAGAGAATTGGACAACTTCCTGATGGGCTTGGAATAGGGAAGCAGGCCTTGTTATCCATTATACACCCTCCTACAACTTCAACTAAGGAAAGACTTCGTTGGGTACTAAAACAGTGGCCCAAAGTTATCCTGCGGTTCTAACAAAAGAAAATGAAAAGAGAAAAATAGACAATATTCTGAGTTATCAATTTTCTCCGACCGTCAGTTAACAACCAGAAACATTCTGATGAGGAAAAAAAAAAAAAATTTAAACCATTTTTATATAAGTTTCAGCTAGGTAATATAATAAATTACCCGATGCAAAAGATCCTATTAATATTATTTTTTTCTTTCTTAAATTCAAATATTCAACTGCAAAGTTATCCTATTAATATTTTTCTTCTTTCTTAAATTCAAATATTCAACTGAAAGTTATCCTATTAATAATAATTTTTTTCTTTCTTAAATTCAAATATTCAACTGCAAAGTCGACCTTAAACATAAGTGCTTAACACTTAGAGAACCATGGCAGCCACCTGCAGAGCTACCTCGTACATTTTTTTTCTGATTTAAACTATTTTTATTCTAAATTAACAAGTGTCATGATTAAGGTTTGAGTCTCGAATTTAAGAGAGAAAAAGTAAAAAATAAAACAAATCAGTTTTTTTTTTTCTTTTTGATCCGTCTTGGTTTTGAACAGGTCGTTGACCAAGCCCTTTGAATCATCTAGGTTTGATTAGATCAATGGCTAATCTAGTACAATGACATATACGACCTAACCTAAAGCTGATGTTGTTGGTTACTAAATCAAACTGTTGGTTATGTCGGGTTTGACAACTGCAGATAGTATTTTCATGTCGTAGTTGAAATCACGATTGATTTATCTATAATGATTAGAAAACTACAAATATCCTTTTGATTTTGTAATTGGAAAACCAATGAGCTGTCTACTCTTTCTTTTTCTCAGACTTCTTTCTTTTCTTTGATTTGTATTCAATCGTTGATCACTCACACATATATATTTGTCTTAATGTTCATCTTTTATTTTTGAAATTGTATTGGTTAGGACATTTTTAAACTGGCATTCATGGTCTCTAATCACCCAACATGTAACCTATTTAATATGCTAACACTTGTACAAATCTATTTTTTTTTTAATTATTTTTCTTTTTCTTCTTCCTTTCTCCTCCTCCATTTCCACCATGACTGCCAGCCCCTCTACTCCTCGTTTCTATTCTCTCCTTCCCCACCACCAGAATTACTAGTTATGCATGCAAGCTATTTTGGATTGTGTATGAAAGGCTAGCTCAAATTTATTTGATGTCACCTACTTGTTGTTGATTCAAGCTTGAAATTCTGGTGTGAGACCATCCGGAGGATTTCTTGAAAACTAATCAAATAATGGTATACTGATCTGGTCAATAAATCAGAGTGACAAGCATGTGAGTGAGAGAGTCCAAAAACGAAAGAATTTAAATGTTTTTTGCTAGAATTTAGTAAGTTAGAATCTCTGCGCGAAGGTAGTATTTATAATGAATTAAAGATAGTTCTTGACTATTAAGATTTTATTATTTTATTTATGTTTGAACGGTCAGAATTGAATTAAAAAAAAAAAAAGAGTTCTTTTGGTATAAATTATTTTGACTTATTGGTAAAAGTTAAATAAAATAACAAATGTGTTTTTAATAAATTCTACTTTAAATTTACCAAATCAATCTCACTAATAAATTTCAAAAACAAGACTTAATCATGGTCCTATTAAAATATTCATGTCCATCATTACGAGACTCAAAATCTGATACCTGACAAGATACATACTTAACTCAATACATGTAGCAAAACTAATCTGCTAGAATATATTTACTGTATAGGTTGCATCAATACATGTCAAAAATAAAAAAACGTCAATTAATACATAATAAAATTTTTAATTAATTTTTGTGAATGAATTGGGCATATAGACTGGACTGTGCGGGAATTTCTTAGGATTCATCAGTTCTCTCTTTGGAGTAGTAAACAGGTTGTTTAATTTGACTTGTGGTTCAAAGACCGAGCCGTAATTGCTCGCAATTCCCTTATTTAGTGACATTTATTTACCTGATGTTGCTTGAAAGATGGCTGGAATCAGGAAGAATTTTTATTGCTGCCAACTTTCCGTTGTTGTTGCAATGATGTTGGATCGACAAACTCAAATTTGTTTTATTTCTGACAATTAAGCCCAGCACTGGATGGCTGTCATTTTTGAAATCTTTTTGGTTTTATTTATTGTCGGATTTCGTATTCTTTATAATGTGAAAGATTGTGGGATTTGATTTTCCTTTATTCGAACTAGGAAAACCAGAGACTTGAATGCAGGGGCGAAAGAAGAAGAATGAAAATGACAATTTGGTAGTGGAGGAGGAGAGAGGAGTAAAGAAGGTGGAAGTTATGATGGAGAGAGAGAGAGGAGGGAGTGGAAAAAAAAATAAATAAATAAAGGAAAGGAAAAGAATAAAATAAAAAATAAAAAAAGAATTGGATTCGTGAAAATAGATTGTGTTGGCTATTACACATTGAGTGACTTGAAACCATAAATACTGATTTTAAAAAATCTAATCAAAATGATTTTGAGAATAAAAACAAAACATTAAGATAAATAAAAATAGACGGAGAAAACTAATAACAAAGAAGCTTTTAATCCACATATACAGACAGCAATGATTTCAATCGAATGCGTCTGTTTGCGTCTTGTGTGAAGTAACTTAACGAGGAAATTATAAGTAGCCTCTACTTGAAGACAGAAATAGACCTTCCGAAAAGAAAGAAATCACAGAAGTAACAGTGATCGTTACGGTCAAGGTCATTTTGATAATTGAATTATAGAGATGGATAAGACTGCATGCTGGCTTCGCAGTTAAGCTCCAAACTAGCACTCCATTTTCCTTCCTCTTGAAACATCATCCTCCCATTTTTCTCTTATTAATTTTCTTTCTACTTTTTTCTGATTGCATGCAGTTCAAGTTCTTTCCACATACTCTTTCTCACCAGTGACCTTCTCGGAAGCTTCCTTGCATCGCATCAGAACTCTCCAGCCCACAATAGACATATTTAAACCCATGCATGATCTTGAGTCCAGCAATTGGCATTTTTTCCTTTAAGATATAACTAAACAGTACCTCTATGCATGCTTTCAGGTCCTAGTTAAATGTTCTTATCAGTACAAAGGAATCATTTACTGTGTCTCAGTCGGAAGCTTCCCCGACAACGTTTTGATATATATATATATATATATATATAAACAAAATAAACCAACTTAAGTAAGGTAGAGATCAAAATGAAGCATATTTATTTGTCTCCCTTTGCTCTTTGCTTCCTCCTCTTCGTCTTAATAACTCCTACTCCTAACAACAGCATTTCAACCCTTGAGGTTTCGACCAAAGATATAACAAACCGAACCTGCAAAAGGTGTGCGGAGGATTCCACGGCCTTCAGCTATGACTTTTGTATAAGCTCTCTCCAAACAATTCCTGCCAGCCATGCTACAAACCTTCATGGACTAGCAATAATCGGCATGGAACTAGCTCTAGAAAATGCAACCAACACCATTTCAACCATTAAGTACTTGTTGAGCAGTGGAACTTTTGACCGCTATGCCTTGGTTCGCTTACGGGATTGTCTGGAGCTATATACGGATGCTATAGTGACGATAGTCGACGGTGTGGCAGCATTTTTGACAGAACATTACAGCGTTGCTGAAGTGAAGGTGAGTGCAGTTATGGAAGCATCAACGACATGTGAAGAAGGGTTTGCGGAGAAGAAAGGAGTAGTTTCTCCGTTGACAGAAGAGAATTTCAATCTCTTCCAGTTATCTGATATATCTCTGTGTATCATTCACATTCTCAGTCTAGTTGAATATTAAATGTAGATAATGATTTCAGCTGTACTATTTATGCTCTCGATGGTCACCAATCAGTTTGGTGAGGATTTCTTTCGTAATGCTTGTCCTATAGGAACACGAATGCAAATACAACACCCATCTATCGCTATTAAAATAAGAATATTTGAAAATTAGATGTTTCTATGCATGGCTTGAGACTCGATCTATGGCTCCTAGTGTTCTGTTTAGTCCGTCAAGTCTACTCTCGCATGATTACTTCGCTTCTCTGTTTTTTTTTTTTTTTTTTTTGGATTTTTGTTGTTTTTGTAAGAGAAACTAGTTCAAAGGAAAAAATTGGATTTTTTATTTCTGATTCTTGGGTTGGGTTTGCTTTTTTAAACAAGATTTTTTGAAAAAGTTAGATGTTTCTATCAAAAAATGAGAAAAAATGGGTCTGGGATTTTGCTGATTTAGGTATGGTATGTTCTGCTAGCAGATATTCGTGCACTCATTCGGCCAGATTGGAATTGTTCTATCCATCATGTATTTTGTGAACTTAATTTATGTGCCGACTTTCTGGCTAAAGAGGGTGTTCCGTTTGCTGCGGATGGATCAAATGGCAGTTTCCTCCTGCTGGAATGCATGAACTCTTGCTTGGCGATATGGCTGGAGTGGGCTTCTTGTGTTCTTAGATTTTTTGTTTTCATTTCCTCTGTACCAGAAGAAGAGCCAAAAAAAAAAAAAAAAGATGTTTTTTCGCGAGAAAAAGTGGCATAGGATTCTAGCTGATTAATTTGTGTTGGGACTCTGGATGCACTCTTATGCATGCCAAAAAAAATTGCATAGTGCTGTTGGCATGATTGATTAGGAGCTGTTTTGTGAAATAGAGCTCCATTGCTTGCTAGATTCTATATATTTTTACCTTAATTATCCATTAATTAATTGTAGATTTCTGTTAGAGAAAAGTGAAATATGAATGCTTAATTTTTTTATTTTTTATTTTTTCTATTTGAGTGTACAATCACTAAATTCTTTTGTTTGAGAGTCAAAGTTTTGAATTTTTTTTTTTTTTTTTTGGAATGTTCACAATCAATTGACACTAAAAAATAATGATATATGTGGAATGTGTTTGAAATAAACTATCAACCAATCATGTGATTGTTTTTAACTAATTCATGGCAGAAAGTGGATCTCACATGGAATAATTTAGGGGGAAAAAATCAATTTTTTTTTTAAACTGAAATTTTAAGTGACTAATTTTTTATTTATTTTTATTTGAGTTCTTCTAATTACCTAATGATGAAAAATACTAATGTTATAGACATGTGATAAAAAAGTGAGTTCTATTTGGATTTATTGAAAAAAAATTATAAAATAAAATAATTGCAATAATTAAAAAAATAAAATATATTAATGTTAGCCGGATGAATTCGACAAGTTTATAGACTAATTTTTTTAACACACTTTTAAGGTATCATCATTTGAACATTTTTTCTCTAATTCAAGAATTTTAATTTTAGATCATTTAAATAATTCGATTTCATTCTGTTAACAGTAATTTATTTTAATTCTTTCTAATTTTTCCTAATTATTTTTTTTTATAAAAGCTTTATAATTATTGTTTTCCTTAATAAATCTGAATGAGACCTAACGTTATACCCAATATTAGTTAAAGACCATAAATAGATCTGGATTATATTAGTATTTTCTAGCATCAAGTGATTGAGAACTCAAATAGAAAAAAGAATACTAGGCACTCAAACAAAAAAAAATTATCAAAATATTCAAATTGTATTATTATTATTATTATTATGAATAATCCAAACAGAACCTATGTTTTTACTGCATATCAATTAAAAGCAGTTACGTGTCAGTTCATTTAAGACAGGTCAACATTTCCAATTTCAGATGATTGTAAGCACCCAAAAAAAAAAAAAAAACCAAAACTTAGACACTCTAGAAGGATTTATTACACTCAAATTGTAGTTTTCTCGTTTTTTTTTAGCCATTCATAATTTTTTTAAAAAAAAAACGCCAGCTAGGCAAAACCCACCAACCAATTATAATTTCAGATGTCATGAAACTGTATAGTTGCAGGAGCTTTAGACGCTCGCCCAGTAAATGTTCCTTTTTGTCCCAACATCATTCCTAGTAAAGGATTACTTCCAACGGTTCCATCGAATGACCTGAAACACCTCGCCTGTAGTCGGTTTAATGTTTGAAGTTTAAACTGGCGAAAAAAGCTACTTGCGCTTTGAAACCGTACTCAAAAGTATTATTATTATTATTATTATTCCACCATCACTCTACCACCACCAGTTTTATCGTACCACAACCATTACCTCTCTTCTTCCATCCACCTAATAACACCAATTTTTTTTAAATATATTATTATTATTACTACGAAATACTACTACTACCACCACTATCTTCTCCTTTACAACCACAGCAATCACCTCTATCTTGATAAAATTATTTTTTTTATCATTATTCTTATTTATCTTAAAATCAAATATTAAAAATTTTAAGTTTTATTCTAATTTTTTATTAACATTCCAAGCATAACTCTAATTTTAATTTTGATTCATGCATTTTCATTCAAACCTTTTATTGCTCGTAACCAAATCACACCTACAAGTCCTAAATAAATGAGCCTATTGTATGTCGCAGCGTCTTTTTTTAAGTCATACCGTTAGCATCATCCCTATAGTGCAAGGCCAGGTTCGTTCTTGACAGCTTAAATGACGATCATATTTTTTAACAAGGGCAAAGAGCATACAGGACTAAAATCACAGTTTAACAAAAAGGCAAAAATGTTCTTTGTGCCATCTGCAAAACACAGTCTATTGAGCACTTCAATCATCAGCCAACTCGTTTCCCAAAAAAGATAAAGCTGGCATTAGACTTTAGGGAGTGAAGTGACATGGTTATCCACCACAGACCCATCAGCCCTCAAGTTGTTGAAATCAAAGAGAAGAAATCATAACTACAATATGCATTTGTTGTTGTAAGGAGAATATCACTAGGTCGTTTAACATAACAAAGAAAGAAAGCCTATTGAAGCCTGTAATTCCACTGCATATTCCACAACCTATGACCCTATAACCAAACCTAAGAAACACAAGAATACCCCAACCACGTCTTTCTACCCCTAGTTCTCAATCACTCAAGTGCTACCAAAGAGTTCCTCAAGCACACAGGAAATCCTTCCCAAATAGAATTGGAAAAAAAAAAGAAGAAGAAGAAGAAGAGGACAAAGATATAAGTCAGTCATTTACATATTTGTGAAATATTGTAGAAAATTCCGAACGGGACAATCGTACTATTGGCGCAAAGTTTCAAGGCATCAACAAGCACATCCACCTGACTGAGTCTGAGTCTGCGATGCAGCTCCACTGCTAGACTTTAGGTTCACATCAACCATATCCTCTTGCTTTGTTGAAGAAAGTGCCTCCATTCCTGGTAAGGCTGCAGCAATTTTTCGGAACAATGGCTGCACAAAATTTCCACAACTAGGTAAGAAAAAAATACCAGAAGTAAATAAATATGTAAACAAATAAGTGCTGAATAAGCAAACTCCAGTCATGTCAGGGACGCTAAGGCATTGAATCCAAAATAACGTATTCTAATTCCAAGAAAGATGTCAGAATAAAAAATAGTACTAGTATATATCTCTATTAACTCCCAAGGCACAAGGGGCTTAATTGCAGCTTTCTTCCAAACACTAACCCCACTCCAGCCCAACTTTTGTATAGGTTTTTCTGAGAACATAAGTTTAGGGGGTTGGGTTGGTGGCTGTAGAGTCCAGATGTAAGAGATGGCCTAACTGAAAGATGGGAAGTCCATCCATCATCAGATTTCCTTCCTTCTTTTTGATATCCCAGACATGTAAAGATCCCTACCATTAGACAAGGTAGACATCTGGACTATGTCTGGTTGAAACTTCAGAACTGAGAAAAAAAGTTATTTAAACATGTAATTAGAATGGAAGAGCATGATCTTGTAAGAACTTAAGCAATTCCATAGCCAGGATTGGAGCATAGTTCTTTTATCCAAAAGAGAACAATTAGCTGCCAACAGAGGAATTACCATGCAAGTCTACTTCCTAATATGTTCACTGAAGCAAAAGAAAGCCAGAGAAGAAACATGGAACAGTTTGGACAAGTTTGTGAGGAATTAAAAATGTCTTGAACACACAGAGAATGGCAAAATAAATACCATGCTCTTAAACTACTCTCCACAGATTGAAAAAGAAAAGACATGATGGACCTGCATCTGATCTTCCATTCAGCTCATAGACTTTCTTTCTTTGTTTCCTTTTTACTTTCTCACTTCTCAGAGAGCATTGGCCATTAACTCAAAACATATTGTTTAAGGCAGAATGACCGTGTTCATTTTAGGCTCATGAAAAACTCAACATTACCAGGAGGTGGTACAGAGGGAGGATCACTGTGCTTGAGAGCATACCTTGATATTAAAACCAGCTTTTGCACTAGTTTCAATAAACATGACGTTAAGGTCACGAGCTTTAGCTTCTCCTTCTTCTATAGAAACTTGCCTGCCAAATCATCCATAGATCAGCATGTTAACGGACACGAGGCCACAAAAAATCAAAGAATAAATTGATCAACTGAAGAAAGGGAAACATCAAATAATTCTGATCCCTCAGTATTTGTTAGGACCACAAATTTACAAGCCAAAATGAGTGGCGAAGATAAAACAGATCATAGTAGGAAGAAAATTCAGAAACAGTGTTTCTATTGTGTGTGTGAGACTGTGACCCAGAGCACACAATCATACGCAAGCCACACTGATAATGGTAATACTTGACAGACTTGAGTCACGAAGCATTCACCTCTTCTCCACAAGGTCAGTTTTGTTCCCAACAAGGACAATGATGACATCGCTACCCCTCTCAGTGCGAACCTCTTCAATCCATTTTGAAGTGTTCAGGAAAGATTGCCGACCTAAAACATGGACCATGAAGTTAGGAAAGATCCATGAGACATGATTGTCCGATTCCAAACAGATAGTTTGGAAGTTTGTTTCAAGTGTATAAGAGGAGGGGAAAAAAAAAACACCAACAAGTCTGAGTTGCAATAAGAGCACATAACCAAACAATTTTATGACTTCGCCAAACCAACACGCCAATCAGGGAATTAGCAACAAGATAAGTGACTTTACTTAATCTCTTGAAGTACAAATTTACTTGAGATGGACAAATGACAAGGCAACAAGGAAACAATTGCAATGATGATATTACTTAAGAAAAAGAAACTCCATACTTGCAACATCAAATACAATTACAGCAACCGAGGAATCTCTGATGTAACTTGGAATGAGGCTTCTGAATCTTTCCTGTCCAGCCGTATCCCTGCAAGCATACAGATTAGCAAAGAGTTAATCATCCACAAAGGAGGAAATGCCATGAAGTAAACCACACAAACATCAATACAAATCGGGATCAACAATGCAAGTTATGTGTTTATGTAACTACATGTACAAAAAGGTAGGCATGTGCATATGCATGTCCAGTGGCCTACGCACAAATACTGCAATCAGATTTATGAAAATAGTGATAGTAATATGATCCCTGACATCTACCAATGTGCAAATCTTCATTCCTGGCTCTTTAAGAACGGATATTCCTCACAAGCAAAAGCTATGTCAACTCTCGTGTAACATTGCTCCTTAAAGCCCACAACATTGTTTATTTTCTCTGTTTTACATCACAAAAATTTCCATTGCATCTGAACTCAATATCGCATCATCACATAAGTCATGGTACTGGTATCTATCTGCAAAGAACAATTCATTATTGATTCTTTGCACAGTGAACTGAATAGATATGGCCACTCCTGTGAATCAAGAGTTCAGCACCGGATTCGTGCACAGAAACAATATGCATATTATATTTCTGAAAACAAAAACAAAAAACAAAAATGTACTTTCTTAAGATGACGGATCTAACCACAACTGCAAACGAATAGTTCTGTCTTCGAGATACATGGTTTTTGATAGAAAATCAATCCCAATGGTAGCCTGTTCATCAGTTCAAGATATATGTAAGTTAGATCAACAGCACAAACCAAAAACTTTAAGAATCACGAAGAAGCAAACAATAGGCCAGTACAACAACAGCCGCTTCATCTGATTGGCTTTCCAACGAGAACAAAGCTCCTTACAATTACGAATTTTTAACGACGAAATAACACATTCTATACTGAAAACAAAAACCCAGAAACTAATCAAAATCCTGGATTGTAAAAAGAAAGATCTAACAAAAATTATGAAGTTCATTTCTAAGATAGTGCGATCTGACAAAGGATAATAACATCAATACTCGAAAAAGGGTATATCGAGACAATAATACAAATCAGCCCACAAAAAATAAACTGATTAAAAAAATCAATCTTAGTCCGAGGTACAAAATAATGATCTGGGTTTTACCTGGTAGGTGTTATCGAATTTATCGTACATGAAGCGAGTGATGATGCTGGTTTTACCGACTGATTGGTCTCCCAAGAATACCAGCTTGTACTTTGCAAGAGCTGAGACTGGTGCCATTTTCTTTTTCAGAGATACGTATAAAAGTTGATTAACAAAATCGGTGAGAAAAGGAGATCTGTAGGAGCAAGGATGTGCCTTTAAATAGTATTTGTGATTAGTGATTAAGCAGTGGAAATGGTTTGAGAATTCTCATGAAGAGAAGACTGGTTTTGGTATTTGACGTATTGCTGACGGGTCGGGTTGAAGGTGGTTTGGGTTGTTTCGGCCCTTTTTGGTACCAGGAAAAGGGCAAATAAAGAAGAATATATATATATATGTGTGTGTAGTTATGATTTTGTAATCCTATTCCTATAGTTTAAAGCTTAATGTCATGGACTTGGCCTTTCCCAAGCTCACATGTGGTACTTGGCTCTTTTCTTTTCTAAAACAAACCAAGTCAGTCTTCCTCACACAAAGTTGCTAAGCAAGAAAGACCTACACAAGAAATATAAAAACTCTTTGTATTGCTTTCTAAAGCTTATAACTCTAAGGTATTGTTTGGTAATCAATAATAAAGTGATGGAAATGGAAATGAAGGAATCGGAATGAAAATTAAGAAATCGAATGGTATTTGTATTTCAATACCGTGTTTGGAATACTAATAAGGAATCGGAATGCAATTTAAATTTTTTAATATCCGATTTTGTATATAAATAATGATTAAAAAATAATTTTATTAAACTATAATAGTTATAAAAATAATAAAGGTGATGGTAGTGATTGTGGTGGTTCTAGTAGTAGTGGTGGTGGTGGCGGTAATGATTGCGGTAGTAATGGTGGTTGTGATTGTGATAATGATGGTTGTGATGATGTTAGTAATGGTAGTGGTTGTGATGATGATGGTGGTGGTGATTGTAGTTATGATGGTGGTGGGAGTGGTAGTGGTTGTGATTGTGATGGTGGTGATGGTAGTTGTGGTGGTGGTAGCGGTGGCAAAAGTAGTTAATAGATAATAAATAAATAAAATATATTATTATTTTAAAAAAAATTCATTCCCATTCTTTGTTTTTTATTCCCACATTTTATGTGTGAATGAAGTTATGTGTAAATTTTCATTCTCATTCCCACTCTTCATCCTTATTCTCACTTCATTCCTTTTAACCAAACAGCTACGATGTCGGAATAAAACTTTCATTCTCATTCCCACCACTCTATTCCCGATTACCAAACAAGCATCTAAAGATAACACTCTCTTAAATTTATGGATGTCCGGGTGTCTTGGCCAAGTGAAGGCCTCACCTATTTATAGCCTTCCAACTCCTCGATTGATGGCTAGGATCTATTTAATCTAATGGCTATAATTGTTTTTCTAGAAATATCCTATCTAGATATTTACAATGAACTATCTAGATATGTACATTTTAGATTAGTGAGGGACTCTCAGAATTCTCTAAAACATGTCTAGATTTCTGCAGATCATCCTGGAGACTTCTCCAATGCTCCATACTCTTCTGAAGCTTCCGACCTTATCTAGAGGTTTCTCCTTTGCTTCATACTCTTCTGAAGCTTCCGGACTTATCTAAAGGCTTCTCCATTTCTCCATACTCTTCTAGAAACTTCTAGACTTATCTAGCGTTCTCTAAAATCTCTAGAAAAATCTCTTTTTTAGGCGGAGCGTAACACTCTCCCCCACCTAATTCGACGACGTCCTTAACGCGCCTTCATTATACTCTTCGACCTTCCGTGTGAATTACCACAAGGCTTCATCGGGTTCCCAACTAGCCTCGCTATCGGGTAATCCTTTCTATTTCACATAGTACTCCTTCTTTGGTGGCACTTCACGACGTCCGATTATGCGGTCATCAAGTATGACATCAACTTCTTTGTCATACGAGTCAACCACCGATGTAGGCGCCCTATGAGAAACTTCTCGACTTGGATCCTCCTTGTCCACACGGTATGGTTTTAGCATACTAACATAAAATACCATATGGATCTTCGACTTCGGTGGTAACTTTAGGCAATAAGACACCTCTCTCACCTTACGTACTACCTCAAATGGTCCTTCATATCGTCGTATGAGGCCTTTGTGCACTTTTCGAAATGTCTTATGTTGCTATGGTAGCAACTTCACCATCACCTTATCACCGGGTTGGAAGGTGACATCTCTTCGTTTCTTGTCGGCCCATTTCTTCATCTTCGATGACACTTGTTCAAATACATTCGCGTCAAGTCTACTCGATCCCGTTATTCCTTGACCAACGAATATGCACTTGGGTTGTTTCCTTAGTACTTGTCACCAAGCACCATCGTATAAGGAGTAAGAGGTCGCTGGCCCGTCACAATCTCAAATGGACTCTTGCAAGTAGACTCATTCTTTTACAAGTTATAGGAAAATTAGGCAACATATAGCAACTTAGCCCAATCTCGTTAGTTGGCACTCACAAAGTGCCTCAAGTATATCTCTAGCAAGGTATTAACCCTCTCGATCGCCCATCCGTTTGAGGGTGAAAACTTATGGAGTAATGTAGTTTTGAGCCTAGCAACTCAACTAGCTCCCTAGTGAATCGAGGATCTCGATCACCGATTATATGTTACGACACGCCCCAATACTTCACCACATGTTTGAAGAGTAGCTTAGTGGTGTTCTCGGTTGTTACATCCACTAGTAGTCTGGTATGAAAGTGGCATACTTAGAGAACTTATCCACGACTATGATAATGCTCCCAAAGTTCTCTAATTTCGACAAAACCACTATGTAGTCCATGGTGATTATCTCCCATGGTCTCTCCGTGATAGGCAAAGGTTGCAATAGACCCCTGGGCGTTCGATTTTCAACTTTATCTTGCTTGGCACACCAAACATGTTTCACATAGGACTCCACATCATCGCACAATTATGGCCAAAAGTATGCTCCCTCCAACAAGGCTCTAGTGCGTTGTTGTCTTGGATGTCCGACCCACATCGAATCATGGCATTCCTTCATTAAATCTCGTCGAAGATTTCCCCATTTAGGTACATAAATTCTCCTCCCTTTCGTGTAAAGAATGCCACCCTCCTCCTAAAATTTTCGATTCTTGCCCTCCCTGCAAGGGCCAACAAACTCTTGGTGGTGGGATCATACTCTATTCATTCTTTAATTCTTGACATGATCTCCCTATCTACTTTTTTATGTCATGCGGCTTCGACCTTTCTACTAAGTGCATCGGCCACCACATTGATCTTTAGTTGTTTCCTCAATTCCTCCAACTCGGGAGGGCCTATTCGATAATGTGTCATAGTTGGCGACTTAGCACTCGACACCAACTCTATTTGATGATCGATTTCTCTTTTTGGTGGCGACTTTTTAGGCAACTCTAGTGGCATCACATTATCAAATTCGGCCGACACATTAGCGATCTCTTCGAGTACTTTTGTACCCTCATCATCCACTTATCTCGTATTCTCTTAATGTTGCCATATATGTGTCTTCCCCTTTCTTGAAGCCCTTCTTTACTTGTATAGTCGAGAGATGCTTCAAGTCCGATCTAACGTGCACCTTAGCTGGCACCATGCATGGCATTTCTTCTTTCATGATCACCATTTGCTCCAAGTGAGGTGTAGGCATGACTTTCGCTTATTTAAAGAACTTCATGCCTAGCACAACCTTGAAGTCGTCTATTGTGACAATAGTGAAATCTAAGGTCCCTTTCCATGTGCCTATGCTAAGCCTTACCCCATGCACTACACTATAAGTAGGCTTAGGGAAGCATTCACCACCTTCATGCTACTTGATGACTTAGTCACCATTAAGCCAAGTCTTTTGGCCTCATCCTCGGCCATGAAATTATGTGTGGCACCCGTGTCTAGTATGAAAAGCGTGGCTTTTCCGTTCACGTCTACATCCACGAACATAAGCCCATCATTCGGTGGCACCTTAGGTGAGGGCTTAACATTAAAGGCATTGAGAAGTTAAACCGATCCCATATGCTTCTCATGCTCGAGAGAACATTTATTTTTCTCCATCAAGGCATTGAGGGTTTGTCGCTTCGGGCATTCTCTCCACCGATGTGGCCCATTGTAAAAGTAGAAACCTTGGGCTTGAATTCTCTCTTATCATGTTCTTTGACAAAGCCTTTGGATTTGTGCGTTTTGTCTTGCCCATTTTTGTAGCCCTTCTTTTCGTAGGCTCTCTCACCTTTTCCCTTGAAGTCTTTCTTAGGCTTAGAAGGTTCCGCCTCTCTTTTGTATTCAATTAGGGATTCGGCTATGGCCACGGCTTCGGCGAAGGTCTTAGGCCGTCGACCTTGCACTTCTTGTTGTGCCCATAATTGAAGTCCCTTAATAAAATCATACATATGATCATAGTCGGGTTTGCCACGTACCCGAAGTTTAAGAGAAATATATTCTCGAACATAATCGTGAATAGTTCTCGTATGTTTCAATGTTCGTAGCTTGTCCCGTGCTTTTCCATCGGCTTTCTTGGGGTAAAATTGAGCATACATGGCTTCTTTAAATTCATCCTAACTAGGCAACTCTAGATTTTCTTCTTTGAGCTCTTGGTGCTTCATATGCTACCATAAAGTAGCATCCTTTGAAAGACAGAGGGTAGCAGTCTTGACATGACTTCTATCCTTAGTCAAGCCCATTACCTCAAAATATTGCTCCACTTGCCAAAAGAAGTTATCGACTTTCTTGGCATCTTGTTTGCCGAGCATAGTGCCTTGATCTTGGCACTTTAACTTTTGGTGTATCCCTCAAGATCACACATTCGAGATAGCTTCTTGACAATTTGTCCAATCTTTTCTAAGTTGTTCAAGAGTTTACTCATACACGGTCATATACTCTTGATGTTGCTTAAACCTCTTTTTCGTCCATTCCATGAAAGCATCCTTTTCGGCGGTGTTCTCTTTGACACACCTCTCAATCGTTTCCACTTGAGCTTGGAGATTAGAGAGCACCTCACATAGGCATGTCATGCCTAGTGTCTCTCCCTCATCATCTCCCTCTATCTTCGAGTCTCTCCTTGAAATCGGTAAGGTATTCCTCCATCTTCATGAGTCGCTCCTCCAAGGAAACTAATACATCACGAGACTTCC